ACCCCCACCCCCCGCACCCCTGCGCGCCGCCACACCTCCCGCCGCGCGCGTCGCCCTGCACACGCCGAGCGCCGCACAGCCTGCCCACAAACGCGCCCTGTGCTGACCAACACATACACACACGCACACACACACACACGCATCACACAGTGTGAGGACACACAGTGCACGTCACTCCAGTACAGTCATGCCACACAACACACATCACAGTAGCACATACGGCCATGTCACACAGCACATGTTACTCCAAGTCACATCACACAGTTCACACAACACACGCCATCTCACTGCACCGTGCACACACCACAGCACACGGGGACACACCAGCACACAGGGTCACACGGCTCCTTGCCATAGGGGGATCAGAATAATAGCTTTCTTCCGCCTGTCCTATCCACGTTCCTCGGTTGGGCTGCAGATTAAGTTACATGAGACAGATTAACAAGAGAAAAACCATGTGAATTACATGCCGACCCACAGGCGTCCCCCAGAATGCAGACTAGAAGGAGAGTCAGATGATTGGCGTTCATGTGGAGTTTCCTGTGCCACAGGAAGGGGTAGGGACTGGGGCTTCTGAGGGTGGTGACCACACAGGTTACCAGAGGGTCAGGGGAGGTGCAGGAACTTCCAAAAGTGCATGGGAAAATGCAGCTAAAATATGAGATTATTCTGGTGCGAAAACATTGGACATCCATGCATACTCTTTTCTTAGTATGCTTTTCCCATGCTCTTTTTAAAATAATTATTATTTTATTTACCTTTGTTTATTTATTTTAATTTGACCAAAGAGGGACAGAGCAAGAGGGGTGGGGGTAAGGGGGAGTGAGAAAGCAAGCTAGCAGGGTCTGGGACTCAAACCGTGGTCTGCCATGTAGGAGTCAGCGCCCTTTACCACCACGGCCCTGCCAGCTCTCCATGTGCTTTTTAGAGACCCCTTGTGTGGCGCATAAAGGCTATACTATTGTGGAGATAAGTCTCTCAGTAGTAAAAGCCGTCTGCGAGCGGCCTTCAGAAGGATTGGTGATCGGCTGTCTGGACGTGCTGTCAAACCCCAGTCTGCTTTCCCATGGTCCAGGTTAACCCTCCGGCCTGGTAGGATTTCCGGAAGGGGACTCTAAGCCAGTTCCTTTTGGAGGACCGTCCTTAGGCAGAAACGGGGGTCAGACCAAGCCTTGACCTGCATCTGGAGGTCCCAAATCAAAGTGACTGGCATCCCAAAGCAGCGTATTTGGGGGCAGCATTTCCTGAACTCCTTCATAATATATCCCGGCGTCCCCTCCCAGACTTAATGAACGGCAAACAGAAGAAATGCTCTGAAAAACCTGAATTCCAGTGCAGATTCCGCAGTTGACAGAGGAGGCAGCGGAGGCCCAGAGAGGACAAGGTACTTGCCTAGATTCACACAGCAAGACAGTTGGGGCATGAGACCCAAGCCCAGCCCCCATCTTCTCCCTGTCCCAAGCACACATCAGGCCTCCCTCCCTCCCAGCACACACCTTCCCTGCCTGTGCACCCCACCTCTGCCCATGCCTCCCACTGCCCTCCCAGCTGGAGCAGTTCCTCCCGGCCCGCACCCCCGCCCCGGCTCAGTGTGCATAGTTGTAACTTGGCCAGGGCGACACAGAAGCCTTGGAAAGTGAGTGTGTGGTTAATTATTTTCTCATCAAGAAGGGTACACAGAGTGCTGAGACCAAGCGCAGAAACCGAGACCTGCAGGTAAGGGGACAGGGGACAAGGGGACATGGGTCTGAGCAGGGTATGTTAGCTGGGTCCCTCAGTGCCCAGGACTCCCGGGGAAGCTGAAGAGTTCCTGTGGGCACCACTCACACACACACATATGTACCTGCACACGCGTGGCCTCTGCGGGCATTGAGCCCAGCAGGAGGCAGGCGGGGACAGACCGCTTCCACACAAAGGGCGGAGCCCCCATCTGTCTCCCGTCCCAGGGCGTCCACAGCGCTGAGGGCGGAAGCATGTAGTTATGCATCCCCTCCGATGCTTCTCTCGTGGGTTCTGCTACACCCACCTTCCCTGTCGCCATGCCAGGAAGCAGGGACTACAGCCAGGAGACAGAGGGCCTAGCCCGCACCAGGGCCCTGGGTTCTAGCCCAGCACACAACCACGAGCCCTCTAGGCCTCTCCATCGCCGCTGTCTGTGGAAGGCAGGTGGTGAGTAATCCCAGCCACACCTGGAGAGGAGGACGGCCCAGGAGCTGGGAACGTGCCCTGGAGACCTACATTCGGCACTTCCCTTTCCCTCTCAATCTCTGCCTCTGTAAAATGGTCTAAGAGTCCCTCCACCCCAAGGAGGGAATCTTTCCGAGCAGTTCCTGCATCTGTGAGTGGGTACAGGACTGTCGGCCTTCTTCCCAACTCATCACGAAGCATGCCCCCATGTCATAAATCTGTCAACATCCTTTCTGGCCTCACTGGCCCAGGTGAAGCACCCCGACAGCCCCCCCCCCCGGCTCAACCCCCCGCAGACCCCCCCCCCCCCGGCTCTGGGCTATAGTTCATTACTCTGCAGCCAGAGAGATCATTTTCAAAACAGGTTTTTCTCTGGCTTAAAACCTCCCAAAGGGTTTCCCACCAAACTGGAATGAAACACAAACCCCGGATCCTGCCAGCCTCTCCAGCCCTCTCCTACTGCCCCCTTATCTCGCCAGCCTCGTGCTCTGCCGGGAACCCGTCAGGTTTTTTTAGCTGAGGGCCCTGGCCCAGCTTGTTCCCCCTGCCTGAAATGCTAGCCCCTCGCCCCTCTGCTCCTGGCATGGAGGATTCCTTCTAGCTATTTAAGTCTCAGAACAAATGTGTCACCTCCTTTGGGACAAGAGCCTCCAAGCTGAGCCCATGAGCCCGCTCAAGACACTCTGCGCAACTTCTCTACATCTGAGGGGCCCCCGTGCTCACTGTGCCCGACGGCTGCCTGCTCCCCTGATGACAGAGCCCTCCCAGTGAATGGGAGCGGGCTGGCTGCCCCACACAGTGAGGATGAGGAGGGCAGTCAGGGAGGAGAAGGGCAGAGCAGAGGCCGGAGGCCAGATCTCGGACTTTGTCCTCTGTTATGGGCAGTAACACTATTTTTCTTCCCAAAGCCAACACCAAGCTCCGGGAAGTAAGCCCCACGCTTCTGCTGCTCCTTTGGTAGCCTGGGACTGTTCCAGGAATCTGGTCTGTAGACGTGGGTACGTGGTGAACTGGGGCTCCCCACCCCAGCCCCCTGCGCCAGGAGCCATCCCAGCTCAGGCCCTGGCACACAGGAGCCGTTCAACAGGAGGCTGGGGAAGTGCCCCAGGACAAGGAAAATCCCTTCTGATGGGCTGCAGGACAGGCTCAGACCCCAGCACTGCACACGCTCCCCTTCTCTGGCACATCCCTCAGGGTGTGAGGGGTCTGGCTGAGCACAGGCAGGTGCTAAATGCAGATCCTCCATTGAAGTCACCAGGAACCCCCCAGGGCACCTCTGCCTGAAGGCCTGGCCTGAGACCCAGTCCATGGGAGTAGGGAAGTGAGGGGAGACTGCCCCCCTACCGTGCCCAATCACACGAGTCTGGGCTGGGACGATCTTTAAAGCTATCCTCTCACAGATATTGGGGAAACTGAGGCTGCCGTGGCCTGGCGCACCCTGAGCACCCCAGGGCAGAGCGTGACAGTGGGAGCAGAGACAGGATGGCTGCGAGAGCTCCCCTCCAGCATGGGTGATCACATCTCCCAGAAACCTGGGAGCTCCTGCAGGGCCCAGAGGGAGAGATGGCCCTGTTCCACCTTTCCTTTCTCTAGGGCCCACCCCTAGCAGCCTTGACAGTGGGAGCAGAAAAGCTGACTGACGCCCTGCTCAGTTCAGATTGGTTAGAGACTAGTGCTGACTCCCTGCTCAATTCAGATTGGTTAGAGACTAGCGCCTGCCTGGCCGGGGTCTGGGCACCAGACCAAGGGGCTGGGCTAGGCTGGGAGGGCTCAGGGCTGGGGCAGGGGGCTGGGCTAAGAGATGAGACAGGAAATTAGAGCTGGGTTTCTGAGGGGGGGGGGTGACAGCTGTGACAGCTGGATCCAACGCTGGGCCTCTCTGGGCCTCAGTTTACCCCTCTGCAACACAAGGTGGCTGGAGCATGACACCCATCACACCAAGCCCCCTTCACCTGGTGTAGTGGCTAAGGCAGCTGGAACCCACACGGCTGACTGCACGGTTCGTCAGGGACATATATGTGCATGCCCCAAAGCCCGAGAGGAGGGGGATTGCGGCATGGCCATCCCAGCTCCCCACCCACTGTCCCTATCTCTCTCTCCAGCGAGGGCAAATGCCCTATAGTTAAAAAAAGAGAGAGAAGAAAGAAAGAAGGAAGGGAAGAATTCACGGGGTACACAGAACTCAGCTGAGGGCTGCCGTGGGGACCTGAGCCACTCGCCAGCTCACCAGCATCCCTGAAGGTGTCCCGGAGGAGGTGGCCACAGAATGCAGCCTGGGGCTGAATTCCAGAGAAAGGCTGTGGCATCACCCCGGCTGAGTCAGCGGCAGGCCCGGCTCTGAGTCACTGGGTTCCCTGCAAGCCAGAGTGCCTTCTTCTGCTCCCCGCCTGACCCTGGGGTCACCCAGATCTGGGTTCAAATCCCAGCCCTGCCGCTGGAGTGAGGCCATGACCTTGGGAGGGAATGAGTGGAGACAATCATGGTTGTGTCTGCTGGAATGAATGAATTGTGGAAGTGTTGGCACAAAGCTGGCACTCGGTGACACTGAGAGCAAACAGCTTTCCAGGTTTTCTGGTTTTGTTTTTGTTTATGCTAGAGGGCATGTGTGTTCCCCAGTAAGACAGAGAGAAAGAGAAAAAAGTGAGAAAGCACCCTCCCCCATGGGGATAGCCACACCACAGTCCCTTCTGCACTCTCCTCTCAGGATTCTGGACACGCACACACGTGTACTCGGTGTTTCTCGAGCCACTGGGCCTGGGTCTTGAACCACACAGTCGGCCAGGTGGGATCCAGCCACCTTAACCAGCAGGCCACTGGCTGGCCCTAGCAAACAGTTCTGGGGGTTTATCATGTCCCCGATGCAGAGTGTACCTGTGTCTTCCAGGGTTAACTTCTGAGTCTT